GATTTTGTACAGGAAGACATGAATCACCTGCATATATACAGAATGAGAGATAGCTAAGCTAATTTTTCCTGAAAACAAACAAACAGCACTGTCTAGAGACTATAGCATATTATTCAGATGAATAAACATTAATGATGCTGCACTTTTTAAAAAAGACAACACAGAGAAATTCTTACAGACAGTGCCCTAAGGAGTACTTAAAGTGACTTTCCAGTTTAACTTGTCACCAGTAAGACTTCACACAGGACCTCGTGGCCAGGTTTGGGTGCTAGGCTTCAAGAAACACAAACACGGCCAGAGAGAGTCCAAAGGAAGGAAATAAAAACAAAAAACTTAACCCTAGAGGAAAATTACTTGTAAAAAGGGCCGAACGGGGTCACATATAAGATAGAAAAGACTGAGGCAGCACATGAGATTTATTTTCAAGCACATAACATTTATTACAGAAAGGAATCAGTCTGTTCTTGGTCTCAAGGGTGGACAGGATGAGAAGTGGGAAGCTCAAATTATGGTAATGTAAATTCAGATAAGACATTAGAGAGTGTTCTAGCCATAAGGACGCTGAATCATTGGGATAGATTGCCTAGAGATGTGAAATAGTCACTGTCACTACAAGTCTTCAGGTTAGACAGACGTAGGTCAGAAACAATACAGGTTTATCGCATGAAATTTCAGTGAACAGTCATGGATGTTGTGGCTTTATGACAGCTCAGATGCACACATTATTAAGTAATTAATAGTGAAATCAAATGAAATAATCACAATATCCAGAATTCAAGCTGGCTTGAAAACATCAGCACAGCAGCCTTCTCTGCAAAGTCTAAGCATGTCCAAGAAAATGTTTACAACGGAGCTTTGTTATAACAGACACAAGGCCATTTGCTCCCCAGAAGTACTGATACACTGTGGAGTTGGGTGTACATAATGTACATAAATGTACAGAAGTGTATCTACCAAACAGCCAACCAAGGACAGATTCACAAGGCAGAGGAGATTTTGCTGACTGCTTCTCTAATTGGCCATAGTTTACAATCCACAGACTGGTGTCTCTTCAAGCCCACCAGAATCTCACCTCCAAAGTGCTATTTACCTGCCACACGCACTTCATCAGAGCCCAGAGTTGCTTTTTAATCCATCTTTTCCACAGTTCAGACTAACTCAGCCTTACTGAACTGTAACTAAGAGGTTCCTTTTCTAAAGTATTTAGCATAATCACTGGTTTGCTCTTAATTCAGCAACTAGAACCAATGACTATATGCAACAAAAATAAAATTTTATACCGTAAAACATGAATTGTTATGAATTGTCCTGTGTCCTTATAATTTTCTAAACAACTGGGAAGTCTATGATGACCACTTTTGTCATAAAAGCAGTACGCATGCATGGCAGTCTCTTCACTATATTAGAATGTTTCCCATGTCACATGTCCTCTAATACTACAAGTATCTTTCCTGGAATTCTGATGAAAAGAACACTTTCTGTTTGTCACTCTAGTGCCCATTTGCCAGCCATACTCTCAAGTTTTTCATTACTTCATAAAGATGCTACAGTAATTAGACTTCACATTCCCTATATTTGTCATCTTTCTTTTCTGATTTCCTGTAGGTCATGCTGAAATGGCACACTCTTCTAAAATTGCATTGCTTGAACTGTCTATATTAGTATTTTCAGATGTAGCAATTTATTTTCCTTTATCAAACCACAATATTTTAAAAAAGAATATCTACGTAACATTTACTGAGAGCAACTGTGAGGTATTCTAAAAGATATTTTGTGTCAGAAGCCATCCGAGTGTGTTCAAAATGTACTGCTCATCAATTTGGCAGGGCATGCTGAAGTGCAGATCAAATTATTTGAAATACTCTTATGAAATTATGAAAGGGGAAGCTAATATCTGTTTTCAGCAGAATTCTAAAAGGAATTTAGGAAAACATGGCCCACAGATCTTGTTAGCCATCTTTGCAAAAATACGTCGATACATTCTGAAATGGTTAGATGCTGTTTGCTGCATGTAACAGTAATATTCCCCGGGCCACGGCTGCTGTATGAACTCAAGGCTGCATCAAAATCTCATGAACACAGAAATATACTGCAGGGGATTTCAGTGAGCAGCAATCTTAAAATGTCTCTTTGCCTTTGAACCAGCATTCTGTACTTGTCTGGAATGTCTCACAAAAATGATACCAGTGAGGATTACAACGTACTATGGTCTAAAAACACACCCCTAGTTCATGTCTAGAAACTACAAGGCTGACATGGTACAGGGCGTTGATATTCCTTCTAAGTGTTTCTTCAACTTATCTCATGCTTATTCACTTCTACTGCATCTACGTGACCCAAAAGCTGGTAACTGCCCATTGCAGATCTCCTGATGTGGCCAGCCAGTATACAGCCCTTATAGATGACCACCCAGCACCTGCAAGGCAGGAAGAGGAGCTTTTTGGGAGCTGGATCTCCATCTCAGCGAGAGTGGCCACTGTGCCCACACATGAGTGCCACCAATTCCTTCAGGTAGGGGGGGCATTCATCACCCTCTAGCCTCAGCAGAAGACTTGGCTTTGTTAACCAAGTCAGTGAATAACTAATGCTATTGTAATTATAACTGGGGAGGAAGGGGGGAGGGAGAGAGGGAGGGCAGGCAAACTGGGAAAAGACAACATAGTAATTTTAAGTCTAGAAGTTGTGCATTGCAATATATGCTACAAATACATATGCCAAGTGAAAGGGGTAAACCTGTTTTTCTCACTGGTTAGTTCCTATTGTGTTTCCCTCAGCATATGGGAGTTAATCCAGCAAATCTACAGTACTGAATCTCCTTTGCAAGCAAGTTAAAAACTGTCCCTGGCTTTCTTTGCTTCACTATACTTGTTTTGCCTATTTCTTAGCCACAGACTGTGAGTGGCTCACTTCTTCAAGCTGTACTGTGTTGTACTGAGGGAACAAGATCGGATAACATAGGCCTTTGGTAGATTTCTACACATGCCTTCTGTCAACCTAGAACAGCAAAAATAGTTTATACAAACAAAAGGTTTGCTTATGTAACTCTAACCTTCCTCAGTCCCATTCTTACGGAGAGAGGTCCCAGCTCCTCTTACAGTTCACCACTTCATCTAAGCGGGATCACGATACCCCATCCCTGTTGATGCCCCATCCTTGGAGGTGTTCAAGGCCAGATTGGGTGGGACCCTGGGCAGCCTGGTCTAGTATTGAACATGGAGGTTGGTGGCCCTGCATGTGGCAGGGGGTTGGAGATTCATGATCCTTGAGGTCCCTTCCAATCCTGGCCACTTTGTGATTCTGTGATCATCTCAGAGGAACCATAATGCAGTGTTGCTGGTACTTTCAATAGTTTATGTTTAGCTTAAAGACCCAGATTCCTGAAACTTTCTGAAAAACCAGCTTTTGTATCCTAGAATAAATTAATAATCCTATGGGTTATACACAGAAGGATGAATATGACCAGTATAACACAATGTATCTAAAAACCACATACGTATAACCTAAGGAACACACAGCTTTAAAGCATCATTACTGTCAAACCAACTTCACCCTCTGTCTTAGCATTGATACAGTGAGTCAGAATTGTCTTGAACTACAAGCTCTTGTGTAAGACTTCAATTCTCCCATTTCTGACATGTCACTTTCACAGGATCTAATGGCAGCAGCTGAGCAGCACATCTTTAGAATAAACCCAGCAGTTTTGCTCTGTCTGTGCAGGTTTTGGGAGAAGCAGGCTGTATGCAAGCACATGCCTGAAGCACACAAGAGAAATCACGGAGCTCCTAGAACATTAAGCCAATGCTAAAGCCTTACAACCATCTTACAGCCTCCAGCTCCCCTTCATGCAGTGCTTGTTGCAGTATCCCTGACCCGCAGGACTGGAAGGTATTAAGAGCAGTGGAAAGCTGCCATTGCCACAGAAGGGAGCAGCTCACAGCCCGCGCTCCCTCCCCAGCCTTGCTGACCCACGTGAGCCGGGTCTCTGGGCTATGCCTGCTGCCTTACCCCGGAGGCAGGCTCTGTTCTCCAGGGCAGCTGAATGGTATGTGTGGCATTGCCAGCACAAGGCATGCTGGGACACCACATGGAGGGAAGGTGGCAACTGTGTGGAGCTGCTCTTGAAGAACCTGGAAATAAGGGGGAAAAATACAGACTAAACCAACAAAATGTGCAGCAATTGGCTTCTCTTCTGTTTGTACTGCTGTACTTAGCACTTGCTTGTGTCTTTGGCAGGTGTACCACCATCTCAGTTCATTAATAAACCTTCAACTGATGTACTTTAAGCTCTCCCACACCAAGAAGATTAAGAAATCCAAACCGAACCAGATGCTCTGAGTCAGGACTGCAAACAGACCTAGGCACAGTGAAGAAATTGTCTTTTCAACTATTACTGAGATGGGAATGGTGAAGCAAAAAATATTAATATTTCCTTATTTCTTCCTAATCACACACTGCGAATTAGAGAAAGTCAAGTGTTAAAAGAGTAAGCAGCAGTCCTCTCTGGGTGGCACCCAGCAGGAGAAAAACCCTGACAGCAGCTACAGCTGAGACTTCCTAGAGCAGCCCCCAGCCTCGGAACTAAAGCCTCTTACACCAGAACACTCCGTTCGGTGCATTCCCCGGGGGCTGCTGGCCCGATGAGCCCTCAGGGTGCCTGCCTGGAGGGATTTAGAGGGCTCACTGAGCGGGTATGCATTCAGAGCCGAACTCCGGGGTTCCTCAGCAGCGTTCTTAGGGCAGGAAGAGGAAGGAGGAAAAGAAGGAAGGACAGGCGGCTGCGGCTCCGTCTTCAACGTGCGTCTGCCGGCGCCAGCCCCGTTCCCGTCGGTGCCACCGCCCCCCCAACCCGGGACGGTCCGCCGGGCCTCGGCCGCTGCCCGGCACAGCCTGCCCGGCTCCCCGCAGCCCCCCTCTTCCTCTTCCTCCTCCCGGCGCCCTCGAGCAGCCCCTTCCACCGGCCCCAGCAGGCCTGCCGTACCGCCCCGCCCGCCGGCACTCACCATATTACAGATGGAGGCGATGTTTCTGACAGTCATTAGTCTAAAGGTTGTAGCGATCCCACACCGCCATCTTTACGAGGTGAAAACGGCCCCGCTCATGGTGAGAAGAGGGCAGGAAGGCAGAGGGGGCGGCGAGCAGCTCCGACTCGGGGCCGGGATGAGCTGGAGGAAGGCCTGCCCGCGCCCCGCGGCGCAGCGGGGAGGAAGGAGCTCACCGCCCTCCTCCTCCCGCGGGCGAGTGACCGGCAGTTTTAGCGGCGTGGCTGGAGCAGCCGCATCTCCGCTCCTCCCGCCCCTGCCTCCCGCACGGGCCACAGGGTCCTGGGCTCCCGCTGGAGCGCTCAGCCGCGCCTCTGCGCCAGCCGGCTCCGCGCTAATCCCTGCCTTCCTCCTCCTCCTCCTCCTCTTCCACCTCCTCCTCCTCCTCCTCCTGCTCCTCCTCGCCCGGCGGCTGCAGCTCCATCGCGGCGCGGCAAGCTCTGACCCGAGCTGGCCGGGCAGTGAGCGGCACTCGGCACCGCCGCAGCCAACGCGCCGCGGGGAGGGGCCGCGGGGTGCCCTGCGGCGGCAGTGAGGGGTGCGCTGCCCGGACAGCTCCGCGATGCCCCTGGGGCAGCCGCCGAACTCGGGCTAAAGAGCATGAGAAATGTCATTTGCAGGCAGGAGGGACGACGAGGAGGAGAGCAGGCAGGCAGGGCGACGCGGCGTGTGACAATGACAGCACCGCTGTGCTTTGGAACGTTCTCTCCGCACCCGGCTTGAAGGACTCATGAGTCCAGGCATTTTACAAGTTATTTTACGGCCCGCAGGAGTGTAACTTATTTCCTACTCCATGTGCTTTGTGGTCGCTGCCACTCGTGCAGACATTTACTTTTACAACGGCTGTGAAGGGACCGTGTCTGTGTTACCATGCATCTTAGTGCTCAGTCACAAATTCACAGCACGTGGCATTTACACAACACTGTTAATGCAGTAAGCTCAGTTCATCTTCAGACACTGCAATAAATGAAGGCCCATGCCATCCTCCAGGGTGCGAGGGCATTAAAAGGTATGAGCACCTTAAATTTGCAGTTGTGGTGAGGCACAAGGATGTTATCTTGTGGCCATGTGGAAAATCTCATGGAGAAGCAAGGATGGAGTTCACCTAGGATCACCTTTCCTATGAGGAAAGGTTGAGGGAACTGGGCTTGTTTAGCTTGGAAAAGAGAAGACTCCAGGGAGACCTTATTGTGGCCTTTTCCAGTTATTAAAGGGAGCCTATAAACAAGAGGGGGAATGGCTGTTTATGAGAGTGGATAGTGATAGGACAAGGGGGAATGATTTTAAACTGAGACGGGGGAGGTTATGTTAGATATTAGGAGGAAGTTCTTCACACAGAGGGTGGTGACACACTGGAACAGGTTCCCCAAGGAGGTTGTGGATGCCCCATCCCTGAAGGCATTCAAGGCCAGGCTGGATGTGGCTCTGGGCAGCCTGGTCTGGTGGTTGGTGACCCTGCACATAGCAGGGAGGTTGAAACTAGATGATCACTGTGGTCCTTCTCAACCCGGGCCATTCTATGATTCTAGGATATGGCTCCAGCATCCCTTTCCTTAGCTGTTTCCATCAGAAACTTCAAGCCCCTGTGTTGTTCCTTCCCTACACATAAGAGATCCTTAAGAGAGAAAGCTGGTAACATTTTGGTGCTTACTTGGAAACATGGCAGCTCATGTTCAGCTACACTTTCCAGTTCACACTGCTACAATGTAATAATTTCAGTCTGCAGAGCCTGACTCCACGGCTATTACTTATGGGAAACATACTGAAACGGCTACATTTTCTGACAGTCTGGGTTTGAAGAGAAGGTCCGTGATTATTATTAAAAAATCTGGTGGAGGCAGCAGCACCTGAAAGATGCATCCCACCCTGTGAATGCTGCTAAGACAGCTGGCTGCAATCCAGCTTCAGGCTGACAAGTGCCCACTTCATAAAAATGGCACCAAAACTGGCATTACTTGGCATCCTGTTGGCTATTTCAGCAAAGAAACTCAAAATAGAGCTGTCACAGAGGCAGAACTCTCTTTCCTCAGTAACTGGAATTAATTGCATCAAATCACTGTGGACATGTTTGAAATACAGTATGGAGGAAACTGTACTTCCAGCATCCCTCATGGAGACTTTTGGATGTTACAGACTGAAGTCAGCAGAGCCACTAAACTGCCTCATAGACTCACAGATCACTGTGTAAAAGAATCAGCAAATAAAATAATACAGAAGAAAAAATCATCTTCGATGTAATTTTATTAAGTCAACCATCTTGCACTATATGTCAATTTGACTCACTCCAAGTATTAATTTGCTTAACCCTTAGGGTCTGGATTAAAAGTAATATTACAGATCTTGTTGAATTAACCAGAGGAAATGGGAGCTCAGCCCAGGTGTCATTTCATGACTGGCCAACCCCAGCTGCAGACCTCAAGCAATTGAGGCCTGACTCCATCTCCAGTGCATTTCAAAGTAGCCCACAGAGACTGACAGTACCTGTACTGTAGCTGGTTTTTAAGCCCAAATCTCTTTAATTTAGAAAGACCAATTCAATACTCTTTGCTGCACAGTATTTATTTTGATTTACTATAGGGTATATCATGCTTGCTCTCACTGAAAATCAATGAAGCAAATAAACCATTTTGATAGGGGATTACAATTTCAAATGAAACAAAATATGGCAACAGTCATTTACATACATAGTAACATTAGGGTCACAAAACCCAAAGAAATACAAAGTAGAAGTTCAAAAGAAGTAAGACAAAGATAAGAGGCATTTCCATGCCTTTACTTTCTTGCTGATCCCCATTCCCTGATTTCAGGGTAAGGTTCCAGGCAGTTTCTGTTTGTTACATGTTGGTGTTGCCAAACAAATAAGTTGCTACTAGGTAAGCTCTTTGTCACTGTTAAAGAAATTGGGCGTTGTGGAAGATACGCTTATTTTGAAATATGGACATACAGACACACACACACACACACATATATATATACACACATACTGCTCTACAAAGCATTTAGTACCTTTTGTATAAGGGATAAGGATTATGCTGGTTTGATGATAATTTAGCACTGACTTATTTGCTCTTAAGCCACAGATCAGGCCAGACAAAAAGAAATTTTCCCTCTTGAAATGGGTTGGTGAGTGCTATGGTTTTCCTTTGGAGTTGTTTTCAGAACTAGAAAGTTCATTTCTGTAGCTTTTTGAAGATAAAAAACTGCTAAGAAAAGCAACAGAATTTAGCTGCAAACACTATAGGACCTGTGTAAATAAAGAACAGTGAGCAATTGTTCCCACTCCAAAGCATTGCCCTATCTCTTCATAACAAACAACTAACTCAGTGTTACTTCTGAGTGCTAAACAAAGAGAAGGAAAACAAGGGGCTATTTATAACCTGAGAGCGCTTACATAATTTCTGTTGAAAGGTCAAAAAACATCTCCTGCATTTACTTTTAGGTCAGTCTTTCTCCTCCTGCATTTACTCTTAGGTCAGTCTTTTTCTGATCTGGTTATACATTCTGACATTTTTATTTCACTATATAAAATAAGTACCTATTGCAAATACCCCCTTTGGCTGGCTGAGGCTGTGACTTTCCTAATGGTTTCCACCTGAAGGTCTCAGACTACTTTGCAAACATTCATTCAGAGCTGTCAGATTACTGGGAGACGAGTTAACATCAGCCTATTTTACAAAGAAAACAGGCAGCAGAAACTTGGTGTGAGTTGTCCAAACGTACACAGCATAGTTGGTAGCAAAGCTAATACTGGCTCACTGTGTTAAGAGAAAACATTCCATTTCCTTTCCAGAAATGAGAAATTTGCAGAGGGTCCATTTACATTTTTGTTGTAACAAACAGTCCCAGAAATGAGTCCAGAAAGGAGAGATCATCCATCAGTTTTGCTGAAAAAGTCTTTGGAATAATCAGATTTGGGTTCAATTTCCAGGAAACAGGGACATTAGTTTTAGTGGAAAAGGCAGTTAAAAAAAGACTCAGATTTTCTGGGAGGTGGGAGAGTACATAACAGAAATTAAAGAGAATTCATCTATCCAAGATACATTCTCAGCACTACTATCAGTATGGTTAGAATTTTAGAAACACTTTATCATCTTTCACTTATCACAATATTTGTTCTACAAAAACGATCACTGTAGATTTAAAAGCATGAACAAGTATGCTGATAGAAGCACGAGCACTAAGGACAGATACATGGCAAACCCCTCAGATTACTGAGACTACAGTTTTTAAGTTGATTTCTGTTGGGAAAAAAGGAAACTTCAGTGACACTTGTTCCCACAGCATTGAATTTTTATTCTTGAGATACAAATATGTCTGGCATTCCATTTTTCTGCAAGGTAAGGCAGTCACACATTGTATAAATGCTAGGTCAAAAGTTTTGGACCTTATTTGGGCTACATAATGCCTTCAGCTGTTAGTACAACTCATCATTAACTTCAGTGAGGAAGATCAGCTCTTTGGTCTGTCAGAGTAATAGGAATTCACCTATGTGGGGACCACTGCAAAGCTGAAAAATTGTACTTTCTAATGCTATATCCAAGAAAAAGAGAAGGCAGAGTAAAAAGTCCTGTGATAATCCCTTTCTAAAGTTAACAACAGATATTTTCCATGAAACTTGGCTCCCATAGCAGAACAGATTGGAAGCTTTAGTACAACGCCAAATGCCAGCTTGCAGCCCATGGACTGAACTTCCTAACAGTCCACAGGAGATATTCTATTGACTTCTGGAGTTCTAATGATAGAAGTATATTATGTTCTATAAAAAGTTAATGGCAGTCCATGGAAAATGAATGTGGAGGGGTTCCTGGGGGCCCCTTAGTCCAATGACAGCCCCAACTTTCTTCTCTAGGACATTATCAGCTTCACAGCAGCTACTACCCACTTTTTTTTCCCCAATTCTGTAATTTTTTTAAGTTAAATTGTTATGATCATTTATTTTTGGAATTTTAGCAAACTCAGTTGTCACCTACCAAACTTAAAGTAGAGAAAATTAAAGTCCGCACTAAATTCATCTGTAAATCTAGCCTACCTGTGCTAATATTAATGTTATGTTGGCTGGCAGAGTGGAACTACTATCTTTTTTTTTTTTTTTTTTCCTCAGAAATTGCTGTTTTTCAGAAGTAAATCAGATACATTTACAGCACCTGGCTTCGTTTTTTTCCCCATTACATATCAGATTTGAAAGCACAATGTCAGCAAAAGATAGATGCAAATACAGCAGAAGCTGACAGAGCAGATAGAAGCAGTTAATAGTTCTGTGGTGACAACCATTAAACAATTTGTTCTACAGTCAGGCTGTTTAGGCCTTTACAGTCAGTTTGATGCCCAGTAGTAGCCTAGAGGTGTGATTATCTCATAACATCTTACTCCTGCTTCTGTCTTTGGCTTAATTACATCTCAAAAATTGTGTAAGGAGCTTTGAACAATAACAGTAAGAGAACTTGTGCGTATTGGGCTGTTGCTTCATTGATTTTACCAAATGTTAACCTTCCCTGTCACACTACTCAATAGAAAATATCCCCACCTATTTCTGTAAGACAGATGTTTGCCTCTTTATAATGTAATTCACCAAGTTCACTGGTATGTTTCTTCCTCTACCAACTGTGCTTTCAGCTGAAAAAAAAAAAAAAAAGCACCATTTGAGTTCTAACCATTATGTATTGCTGAGATGACCAAACTTTATAGCCATGGAAGTAATTTGCCATTCTTCAGGAAAAGTTCACTGAGGAAAAACACCAGAAACCTTCAGAAATAACAAATCTGGTTTGCACTCCTCCAAGGATTTCATTTATTGTTTTTATTCTATTCTACAGGCTCTAATTTTATCTCACATACACACAGAGAACAAAACACAAAGGATATTTGGATAGTAGATAAGCTGTAAGCTGTATTTAGTCTATTTTGGGCATGAATTTAAAATGGTCCTTTCATGTCATTTCATGTAAATGGTCATTTCATGTAAATGGTTGCATAAATTAATCAATTTGCATTTTTTAATGAATTAGCATCCCACAGATTTAATTAAGACACAGTCCTATTGCGTTGGACATATAGATTAAAACAAACAAACAAACACACACAAAAACAACTGCTTGGTAAGGTTCCAAATCTGCCAGTTATATAATGCAGATGGATACTGACATCCATCAGCAAAGACTGACAGCTACATCAAGATTTTACTTGCTTGATTTTCCTTCCTACCTACATGGAGAAAAGAAGAGAAACTGAATGGAAACATTAAGAATAATTGTGCATTTTGATGAACTGAGTGTGATGTTTTCAAACAAATGAAATTCTGTCCACTTAGAAAGGTATCAAACCAATGACTTAGAGAAATTCATGCATCCTATAAGGAGGGACCTTGATGAATAGGGCACCAATCTGCAAGATCTGAACAGCTGAATTCAGATCACCACAGGCTCCTTTAAAAAATCAACACTAAGTGCACAAAATAACCAAGACAGCCAGTTGTCACTTAGGCAAATTCAAAACACAGACCTCCAAATATTCTTCACAATAACTACCTAAAACAGAGGTGCCCTGGTGTCAACAGACAAAATGGACCACTAGCATGATCAACTAGGGACTCAGTGAGTTTTTCCTGGGCATGTGCACAATCTATTTGCTAACACCTCACACTGGCAAGAAGCGATGGCTCTGCTTTATCAGGAGGTGATCTCTGTGGATCAAAACCAGCACATAATACCTGAATCTTAAGTACAGGTCTTGAAACAGCTCTCCTTAACCATTCCTGTCCTCCATTCCCCTAGTACTTTTGTAGTATTTTGTCCACTAGTCAATCTTCCATGGTAACAGTCATGGATGGTAAAAATAAGGGCTGCATGCCTCTTTATGCTGTTGACTAAATTACATGAGCAGACTGATCCAGCTTACTTGCCTACCTGTAGAAAAATAGTCATTGTGCAGACCCTCATGTGAAACCACCTGAAGCATCTGGAAACTCATAAGCAGAGTGGCTTACCTATAGTCACGAGGCTGCCTTTCAATCCTGATACCGTGGTAACAGGCATACCGTCACAAAATGACTGCACCTGCAACAGTGTTTTAAGATTTAGATTTTGTACCAAGATTTAGACAAGTAACTACAAGTGGGAAAAACTATCCCTTGGTTGTAACTATGTGTCTGTTCCCGGTTTGTTTTAGCCCGAATCAACCCACCTAGGCTGGTTGACTGTAATTTAAATGCAGAGACTAGAAACCCCCCGGGCCAGGCCTCGTGCCTGCTGCCCAGGCGTGCTCACCTGCTGGGAGGCTGCAGGGTATCAGCACGAAATCCTAAGTCTCTTAAAGAAGGGCTTAGAGGGGAGTTTAGTCAGAGATTAGCTGTATTTAGCTCCTCGAAACCGCTACGAGCTGCTACGTTACACCTAACGTCTGCACGTTAAAGACCTCCGGACACGCGCAGCCGTCACCCGGGCAGAGCTGAGCAGCCACGTCCCGACAGAAGCCCTGCAGGCCCTTGCCCGCTCCTGACTGAGAGGCCTGGAGCCCCCCCCGAGCTCCAGCGACCCCGAGACCCGCGCGCATGCCCGTCAGGTGAGGGGCGGAACACCGCCTCCAGTCACGTGCTCCTGCTCGACCAATAGGCGGCGGCACCCATCTCGCTGTCTCCCCCTCCCCACCTTCATCAGAGATGTCGGGCTCGCGCGGATCTCGCGGGAGCGGCGGGCGGTATATAAGGGCCGCGGAGGCGCCGCCCGCCCTCTTTCCCCGCCGCCCTGCGGTAAGGCGGTAAGGCTGTAAGGAGTCCGCCCGGCGTTCCCCTCGCATGAGGGGCGGGTGGCGTGAAGGCTGGGGGAGGCTCGTGCCGGTGGGCGGAGGGCGAGGCGGAGCGGGGACCTACATCGCGTCTTCCCTTCACATTTGCCCTCTCGGAGCCTGGCAGTGCCCCGAGCAGTCAACACAGGGGGATAGAGCGCCTTCCTCACATAAACACAGCGCGGAGCCGCACCTCCGCCCTGCATCCTGTCGTGAGGCACAAGCGTCCCTTCCCTCCGCCCCACGGCTCCTTCCGTCCCCTCCCGTGCTGACTTCTCTCTCCTTCCGCAGCTCCGGCCCGAGGTCCCACCAGCTGTCACGATGCCCTCCGGGGCTCTGCCCGCCGGCCTGCCCAGCTGTCGCTCCCCGATGGCCGTGCTGGGGCTGGAGCCGCGTGCCGATGCCGGTAGGTGGGCGTGCCGCCTCAGGGTGACCTTCCTCTGTCCCTGTCGGCTCCCACAGGTCGAGATCAGCCCGTCGTTGCTTTGCATCTGTGCAGTAGTTCTCAGGCCCGGCCTCCTCTTCTGTCTGATACAGTAGCTTTCGGTGTCTCCCGGCGGTTCTGCCCCTGTAATTTGTTGCAAGTAGGCACACGGTGGTAACGAATTAGCCACTTAAAGCTGCTCATAAAGCTGAGAACTCACAGCTTCTGGGTAGTGTCAGCACCAGAAGTAATTTAGTGTTTTTAGAGATATTAAGATATGTACTGTTTAGTTGAAATGGTCACATTAGAAAAGGGCATGCTCATCCGTCTGATTAAACCGTCTTACTACACCTTGCTGTGGATACTTAATGATGAACTTCATAAGTGACTTCTGAAACATTAAGCTGTACTAATTGGTCTCTCTGTTATTTAGGAGTCACTTAGTGATTTCATGATTGAAGCCGGCTAGAAATGGGTGATCACACCTAAACTGAAAGCAGTCCTCAGGACTCCTTAGGAATGAATAATACCTTCTATTAAGAAGGTAAGTGCTTTCTAGTTTAATGAGTTATTGACCATTTTAAGTCATGCTTTTTGATAATTCATGAGATTCAAGTAAGTTATCTCGTTTGAGTAAATGGTAAATTCAAATAATCTTAAAACAAATTGGTATGATCTACTCCCCTTTTTAGCTTTGCCCTCTTAAGTCTGCCGGTGTCTTAAGTGGCCAGTACAGAGGGGTATAACAGTTCTCTCTCAAACCCAGAGGTGAGGCTGAAACTCTTCTTTGGATCATGCTGAGAGGAACACATTAATGAAACCATAAAACCACTTTCATGAATTTCAGAAAGTTAATGAATCAACTTTATTGCATTCAAAGAAGCTTCTAGGATTTGAGAAGTCATCTGATGATCATGTTATCTAATTCTGTTTCACATTAATCTTTTTCAATTTTCAGTTCTCAAGCATGTTGATACTCCTTGACTGCCTAGAATATGCCTCATGAGATAGAGATAAACAATATGGAGTCAAAAGAGTTGCTTGTAAATTGATTGGTCTCTGAGGTATGTAGTGTAAAAAGTCTTATCAGACTTGAGTGGATGGGGTAGTGTTGTCTCTATCTAAGAAGCTTAAATTATTGCTTAACTGAAAGTTTTAAAAAAAACAAAAACAAAAACCTAGTTTGAAACTAGCTTGGACTACTGGAAGCCTCTGTGGAAATCTAGAATTTTTAAAACTGATTTTATGTAGATAGGTCAAACTAAATTAAATAATATCTGAGCAAAGGGGATCTGTTCTTTCTTACTAGCCCTGGACTGAAATGTGTACTAATGGTATGGGCAAGGAAAATCCTGTCCTGTAGAAATCTTTATTGAGAAATGCCTTTGATTTAAGGTTGGTGTCATGTAGCTTGTTCATATAGTTCAATCTTAGGCCACTTAACTCTATTCAGGTATTTGATGCAAATTAAATAAAGCTTTTCTTTTACAGAGTGAAAACCAGCAAGGGATGTGCAAGGCATCAGACCTGATCTGCTGAGTTGATGATTACAGACTTCACACAAGATCACTCAGTTGTCCTATGTAACATTTTGAACTGAAACAGTGACTCAGACTGTTACATCTTCAGTGCTCATGTTTAAACAATCTAGCCATTGGTTGCAACAGAAGTTTCTTAAAAGCTGTGGCAATTTCTGTATGGATTGATTGAAATAAAGTTAATACCAGAAGTTTGTGTTGTGAAGTTCTCTCATCTAGGTGCTTCCTATTCAAAGGTATTCAGAAGTTAAGAGTGACAAATTGCTTCGCTTTGAAATCACTTTATTTTGAGGTCAGTGGGCCCACTTCTGAATTATTTAATTAGGCTGTGGTAATTTGCATTTTGTCCAATTAGTCAATAGATGGTCTCAGACTTGCTAAAGGTATAATAGATAAAGGGACCCTCAACGATTGCTATTTAAAATACAACAAAATATTTTTCTGCTGCAGACTTCCTTTTAAAGAGCTATTATGAAGGACTGGAGAGCAGGAACAATGTTCTTGAGCAATTGGAAGGCTGCATCTCCTAGGTCAAAAATTCAGGTTTCCATGTGAAGTGTGAAATTGTAATTTGTGTATTCTGCTACTAGCTGATGCTTCTATAGAAGACATAAGCAAGAATAACGATAGTTCAAATTGGCTGTTAGGCAATCCCTACTACAGAGTTGATGCAGTGAATTATTGCAGGTTTGGGGCCAAATGTAAATAACCTTGGTCAGATTAAAATTCCATCTAGCCAGGAAGTATGCTTCTGGTTCTTCACTTAAACATCTGCTAAATGGGGCAAATATTTGGAGGTTTATAACTCTAGCCTGTCAGATTTACCTTAAGTATAAGCTTTGCAATGTTTTCACTTCTGGAAACTAACATCTGGCAACAAGAAACTTGCTCTTCTTCTTTCTGCACTGAGGAGAGGATCTACTTGAGAACTTTGAAAATGAAGCCTGTTCTTTCAGGCCAAGATTTGTGATTACCTGCTGACTTCTTCAGAGGCTTATTTCTAAGTTATTTCTAAGGCATGACTGCCCTTCATAGTGTTTTTTGCATGTCTTGTAATTCTTTAGTGGAGAACACTCAAAGGCCAATGAGTGGCTTGCGCTATCAAAGATTAGTATTAACTACTCTTATTTCCAGTTAAATGACGTCAAGCCAGACTCATTTTATAGGTTTCTGTATAAAGGTTTTGTGCAATAGGGATTGCAAGAAAAGCTGGGGAGGAATAAAAATGAATGAGAGCTACTAGGTAGTTTTTAATCTGTACGTTTCTTGTAAACTCTGGCTATTGATTGCACATCTAAGGATGATGCTTGAGAGTTTTGTTGACTAGATCTGCAGCAGAGTCAATTCTGTTTAGGAAGATAGTCTGTCAGGCAGGAGGAGTACATTTTTGTCTTTGTTTTGTTTCAGTAGACAATCAAAAAGCACAATTTCCCACCTCAGTTCCTTTTAGCAAGTTATTGCAACTGAGTTTCAGACTTGATCAGAGGAGTCATAGAAGATGAAGTATATAAGATGCTTAGGGAGCAACCTCATACAGAGAAGAAACCTTTCTTAAGAGTCTGAGTGTTTAAAAATGATCTTAGAGGGATTGTTTTATATAAAAGGGGCAAGGAAAAGGAATGAGGGTAAGCCCAAAGGAAACAGTGGAGCACCTTGTTCTGAAGACGAGATGATGAAAGATTCTATTCTTACAGGAGAATAGAGAATAAGAGCTTTTTTCTGGGAATCCTCTACTGATTTAATGGTAGACAGTGTGAGTTTGTTTGTTTGTTTGTTTGTTTGTTTGTTTTTTGTTTTGTTTTTGTTTTTGTTTTAAGTTCTTTTTCCATTTTCTCCCTCTATCTATTTTAAGCTTTTAGAGGACTTTCTTGAAATGTGAGCAGGTAGTCCAAACTTTCATTTGGACTCACTTGGAAAGAAATTTTAGTCAGAATTTTCTTTCAGAGGTGTAACTAGCATCATCAACTGTAGATCGTTAGTGTCACTTGAAATGCAGGCAGTTATATTCATTAGGCTTGGGAATTTGTGATTCTGCAGCTGGCAGCTCTGGTTAACCCTGAAACTTTAAAAAAGAAAAGCAGCAAAATATCAGTAGGGTGAGGATAATGTATGAATGCTCTTGTACCTAAGGAGCAAAGAGTGTGCATCCTCTGCATTAATTTGGATTAAAGCAAGTAGGCAGGCACTTCCTATAAAGCTGTAGTGGTCTTTAGATATTAGGTATCTTAACACTTTCTTAACACTTTTTTATGTTTGGTTTCAGGTGGAGCTAACATTAGATTCTTCAACATATCAGTACTTCTGTTTATCTAAGTAAAGTTGAAAACTGCATGACCTTCACAAGGCATTCACTGCTGCAAACAGGGTCTTCGCTATTTGGTGCACTGTGATGTAAAGATCAGAGATTTCCTCACAATGGTTTGAAGTTTGAGTTCTATGGTTTTGACTCAGTGCACCAAAGACATTAATACTCTTTCAGGCTGAGGTATAGAAGCTTGGAATAATGATTTATTATCTTCAGATTGTATTATATGTATGTTTACTCTAAGGTGCTAAGCTAATGTAATCCAGAATGTGCATTTTAACTTAAATAATCCTAATTAAACTCTTGAGTAGGAGGAGTAATTGGAGATAGGTAGAATCCTAGGAAGACAAGTGTGCCCAAAACCAAGGGATAAATGAATATGGGGAGTTCCAGCTTTTAGCACTCCCTGGCCTTGGAGACAGCAGGTGATGCAGATCTCTAGTTTGTCTCCTGGGAGCAGGCAAGGTCATTTGTTATTTCCTTCTCAGTGGTTTATTGCACACCAAAGCAGAGGTGGTATGTGTCCTATGAGTCAGAGTGTTTTTCAGTCCTTCTCCTAAGAAGTGAAAGTGAACTTGAAGTTGTATAAGGGAATTTGGCTTAGGTTTTATTAGTGCGTCTGCCATTGAGTCTTATTACAACTGATGTAGGAGGGTGAAATCGCAGCTTCCATTTGGTTATGTCACGATCTGTCCCTTATAAATAGAATCTTATCTCATGCTGTTTGGAAAGTGAAAGAAAATAAATAGGCGCTCTCTGGAATAATTTCTCTGCATTTTTCTCCACAAGCTGCTTGAAAAGATTGCTCACTCAGCCTCCCCAGGATCTTAGTACTGAATCCTATTAGATTCATCACTTCATTCTTTTTCCCAAAGTGTGATCATGAAATGCACACAACATACTTTGTAAGGAAAGTAATAAAGGAAGGGAATAAAGCCAAGTAAAGTATGCAGAAGGATGCAGTTTGTTTCCAGCAATAACGTGAGAAATGGCAACAACAGACACAGAGAAGGCTGAGGTACTCAACAAGTTCTTTGCCTCAGTCTTCCCTGGCTGTCAGGCTTCCCATGTCCCTTGTGTCCCTGAATCTCTCGGTGGGCAATGGGGGAGCAAAATCCCTCCTACTGTAAGCAAAGACTTGGTAAGATAGACTCAGTATTAATATGGTTACTCGGGATAAAAACAGGAAGTGATGAAACAGCAATCATTCACTGATATTCAAGATCAAACTGCAGAAACTGTGATGAAAGAACAGATCATTTATCCAGAAAGGTAAAAATTATAATTCTTAAAGAGAAAACCAAAGGTAAATTATTAGTCAAATTGTAAGCTCATGACACTGTGCTGAACAAGATCAGAAGTGAGTTCAGGTTAGCATCAGGGAAGGTTTGTGAGAAATGGAACAAGTAACCCCACTTCTTATAACCCAACCCCTTCAGGCTGTGCAGCGCTGGAGAGGTGAGCTGCTGTGACAACAAGGAGGTACAGCTGAGGACAGGGACCTCAAATGTGTTAGTATTATGAACAGCAACCTCAGAAAGATAACCAAGTTTTGTAGACAAGTGATGGGACCTGTCCTTGCTCTGCTCAAGTAAAATAGTGCAGTTTCATTGAATTTCATGCTGATTTACACCTCTGGAGACCTGGACCTGCCTTTGTGCTAGCGTGCTTATCACACACTGTGCTGGTTTACAGATCCCAGTGACCTCCTGCCTAAGAGCAGCTCAGTTTGAATCCTCAGTTTTGGAAGTTTTGAAGTTACATTGATTTGAGCAGTCCTTTCAGCTCCTAATTCGTAGGTCTCAGCAAGAGCTGAGAGCAGCCCTTCCATCATGCTATGGTTTACATGGAATGACATCTTTTAATAAAATACGCAACAACTCTAACAATTGTCTTAAAAATATGTCTTTAAAATGATAGTACTTTCTCTATAACTTCTTCCTCTTAAAGAAGAGTTACATGGCAGCTGTTACTCACCACTGCTGTGTCTGCAGTTCATAAAGAGACAGCAGCACTATAACTCATGGTATTGTGAAGCAGGTTGAGATGGATAGGGCATTTCAGAAGTTAGATATTCACTGTTTTTCTTTACCATTTTGTTTCATATCCAAAACCATACCAACAACTTGACATGCAGACAGAGCACTTATCTGATAGCTGATTCAGTAATCAATTAATAGTCATTATTCAAATTAAAAGGAAAACTCTCAGCCGCTTTCAGATAAATAAAAATACTCATGTTCTCAATGTTTTATGATAAATTCTTGGCACACTTTCTTTTTTCTTAGTGATTTCCAAACATCATTCTCCAGGTCAGACCGAGAGCACAGAGCAGACCTACCTCAATCAGGATGGCTTGGATTACCTCCTTGTCTCATATGCACCTGAACACAGCTTCCAGGAGAATCTGTTCCCTGATCTCCCAGATGCAGAGCTGAGGCTTAATGGCTGGTAGTTCCCCAGGTCTTCCCTTCTACGTTTCTAAAAAATGAGAGTGAGGTTTCCCTTTTTATAGTCACTGGGGACTTCTCCTGACAGCCACAGCAATGTGAATGTGCGTGAGTGAGGCTTGGTGACTGCCTCATTTGGTTCTGTCAGGACCCTGGGATGCATGTGGTCTGGTCCCACAGACTTGCACACAGTCTCATCAGGTGGTCTGGAGTAAGGTTATTTTATATCTTTCTGACATTTTGTGTATGTTTGTATGACAGCAGAAAAAGTTCCTTATAATCTGAAATAAACATCTTGGACTTTGAAATAGCATGTGATTTAAATACCTCTGGTTTTTATTCTGATGGGCTTCTAAATAGTTTATATGCATTTTTATTGCCTTGGGATTTGAGTACAAGTTGGAAAGCTTGAGAGGTTTTTGCACAGAATACAATTTGCAAAACACTGTTGCCATT